CTCTCTCTCTCTCTCTCTCTCTCTCTCACTCACTCAAACCGTCCTCGCGCGCTACGTGCACATGCAAACCCTCCTCACGCGCTACCTACACATGCAAACCCTCCTGGCGCGCTACCTGCACATGCAAACCCTCCTCGCGCGCTACCTGCACATGCAAACCCTCCTTGCGCACTACCTGCACATGCAAACCCTCCTTGCGTGCTACCTGCACGACCAAACACTCACGCGATCAATGACTGCTGACCGGTGGACTCCCGCGCTGCCGGCAAAGACGAACTGTTGCACTCGCTTCGCTCCTGCTGCGGCCTGCGGACGAAACGATCCACTTTGCCCCTGGCCCCACGTGAACACCTCGCCACCACGCGGCATTGATTTCTCCCAGTGGTGGTACTGACCTGCGGCACCGATTTTTCCTAGGCCCGCTGGGAAGCGTCACGTTGGGCCCTTTGCAGTTTCTAATAATATAGAGAAGAGATGTAGATGTAGATGTAGATGTGGATAAGGAGAAAACACCGTCCTTGGTGATGGGTCGGTCTAGTTCCTGTTTCTTTTCCTCTTTGATTGTCTTGTCGAGGTATTGCCCTAGCGTCACTATCCCGTGTTCAAATTGGTGTCAGTGTTTCGGCACAATAGAGGCCTTCGTGGAATTCCTTTCACCTCTCAGCATGCCGTCACTGTCTGAATGTAAGACAAGTGGGTCAGCAAGGTCTGCCAGACTCTATATGGAGTTAGTTCTGCCAGTTTTCACTTCTGTCTGCCGCCCGTACTTCATCCTTGATGCCTCCTAATTTCCTTTTGAAGATGAACAAATTCTGGAGTGTTCTTGGGAGTTGGTCATAGGGGTTTCTTGAAGTACGATGATATGTTGTTGTGGGCCTTCAGATCAAGAACTATGCCTGCCAGTTTCTATTCTTTGGACAGTATATTGCCCAGTCCCTTTATGTTCGATGGTGATGCCTTGGGCTCTTAGTTGACTTTCTGTTGAAGTATTAGCGCTGGCCCGATTGTGTCCGTCACTGTCCATTTGAATGGCACTCAGTCAGAATCTGGGTTACCGGTCAGGCTGGCCTGATTAGGTAGGGGTTCGCGTTGGTGCGGGGGCAATGAGGTTGTTTCTGTCTGAAGTTTGAACCGACTCCTTATGCCACGCAGACGGAGGGTTGTGTAGTGATCTTGTCGGGGACTCAAACCATTTTTATGCTAAAATCAAGCCTGGTATCTTCACTGTTCTTGAGGTTGGTTCCGCCCTTTTAGGTTGGGCCTGCTTCTTTTCTCTGTCTCTCTAGTTTCTAATCTTTTCCCTTGGCCCCTTTGGGAATCGATCTGTTCCCAGTTCTTTAGTTCGTCAATTTCCTGTATCTTTAGATAGTTCCGGTGTTTCCCGCTTCTGGACTTCGGCATTCTCCTGGATATCGGTTCTTGGTTACGCCCCTCTAACCCTTGAGTGCCTGCCCGTCTCGTTCATCTTAAATAGAGGAGTTGGCATGTCAACAGGCACTCGATTGCGTGGCGACGACCCCTGACACTTCCGGATCCGGCACGCAGGCGTAGGGTTGTGTAGTGATCTTGTTGGGGACTCAAACCATTTTTATGCTAAAATCAAGCCTGGTACCTTCACTGTTCTTGAGCTTGGTTCCGCCCTTTTAGGTTGGGCCTTCTTTTTTTCTCTGTCTCTCTGGTTTCTAACCTTTTCCCTTGGCCCCTTTGGGAATCGATCTGTTCCCGGTTCGTTAGTTCGTCAATTTCATGTCTCTTTTGTTAGTTCCGATGTTTCCCGCTTCTGGACTTCGGCACTCTCCTGCATATCGGTTCTTGGCTACGCCCCTCTAACCCTTGAGTGCCTGCCCGTCTCGTTCATCTTAAATAGAGGAGTTGGCATGTCAACAGCCACTCGATTGCGTAACGATGACCCCTGACGATTCCGGATCTGGCTCCGGATGAAACATGTTGGGTCACCGCCGACAGAGTTTTGACCATGGTTTGTTCGATACGGGCACGGCGCCTTCTCGGGTTGAACTCGATAGGCTGGGACTCCATCTTTTTCGCAATAGCCTATCATGTTGCGTTTGGGAGACCTTGACGTGTCTTACTCTCTCTCTCTCTCTCTCTCTCTCTCTCTCTCTCTCTCTCTCTCTCTCTCTCTCTCTCTGTGGGTCTCCCTTCCTTGTGTCTGAATGTGGTCGTCTCTTTGGCCTGTGTGCGTCGGATATTGTCGTTTTGTCATGCTTGAGTTTAGTGTCTTCTTAGGCCGTTTGGCCGGTACTGGTTGTATTGTCCTTTGTTTGTGACACATATGGATGCTGTGTGAGTTTTTTTTTTGGTTTTTTTCCCCCCGCAAACACGTCCCCGCCAGTGCTAGTGGTGCTGATAAGAGCAGCCACCGCTAACACTTGGGGGGCCTCCATCTATTGGTGGGGAGCAACACCTGTTGGAAACCGGGTCCAGTGTCCCTTCCATGGACAGAATTCGAACCATATCATAAAAAGGAGATGCAGAATATACCTGCCAACATTGATTACCCTGGGGTCCAGGGGATTGACTAAGCAGGATGTTGGGGGGGGCGGGGGGCGGGGGGCGGGGGGGGGGGGGAGGACCTCTTCACCCTGAACCTGGCGCCAGATACCCGCTGCTACACCCTATTTCCTCCCATCCCCTCTCTGCCACAACCAACTTTGTTGCCCCACCAGCTTCCCATTTATTCATTCAACTGTACCAGTCCGCTCTATATCTGTGCATTGCCCATTCAGTCTGCTCCATACCATTGCATGTCCACCATTGCCAGCTGGTGAGGGGGGAAGGGGTCAGGAAAATCTGTTGCAGGTCTCAGCGGGATTTCCTGACCCACTGTAGTCCAATCCTTGAAGCAGATCCACTAGTCTCTCCCGAACTCCTCCTGGTTGCACCCCTGGGCAGGCTTTCCATCCCATCTAACACCTACAATCCAGCCCCCCTTCTCACTGCCCAACCAGTCCCCAGAGAATTGATGAACTGCTCGTGTTATTTCTTGTGCTGAGTGAAACAGGTCGAGTCAGTCTTTAACCTTCTGCAACTGTACCATGAGTTCTTGCTGAATATATTGCTTTATTGTCTCTGTTACCTCTTCCCCTTCTATGCGGACACCCTCAATGGTATGTGTGCAATGTTTTCCCCAGAGGGCCCACATCACCGCCCTTCTCCCTAACCTGAACATGTTGTTTTCAAAAGTAATGTCAGTAGGGGAGGACCATGCTTCACATAATATGGCCCTCCAATCATGGCCAGTTAGACTTCGTGGCCAGTAGGGTCCAAAATCCTATCCCACCATCGCCACGTGAGAATTGCCCCTGGACACTGCATGAATATATGTTCTATGGTTTCCGGAATTCTGCGGGAGGGGAACGCAGTGTGGCACGATTTACACCATGGTAATGCCAGCCCCTTCTGCTCCAGCTGTGTACGCTCGATCAACCAATTATTCGTGGGCAAACAACGATGTTCAATCTGCCACTGCAGCGAGGCCATCTTCGCTGGCCTAGACCTTGTGGCGGTGAACCATCGGATGGGGCAGAGTGTCTCCATTCCTACGTTCAAGTGAGACCTCCACCGAGCCTTCACCTTTTCTTTTATGTTCACCTTCGGTCGTACCAGCCGGTATGTGGCCTTCACCGTCAAAGTGTACAATTTCCGGTTCTCCCCTGTTCTAGATTTTCGCGGAGGGGCCCAAAGGCATTCATCGGGGTCGAAGGGGAGTTCTATCACGGTTTTTTTTGGCTGGTAAGCTACCCACACATCTTTTTCCCGCAGCACCTGGATCCTGTGCAGGTCCAAATTTCTACACCATCTCATTGCCTCTGGGTTATATCGGGTGAGGATATTATTCTTGTCTATGAGGAAGAGGTTGACCAACGTCTCATCTGTTCGCACCTCTACCACGTTGCCTACACTTTCCGGGTCCCCCGGGCTGGCTACCCAATCCCCTTCAATTAACTGCGGTCCTCTGCGCAATATACGCACCCAGTCCAGGGGAGCCGCAAAAATCAGCAGGCATAGATTTTCTTGGACCTTGCGGCAGTGTTTTAGTACGGCCTTTAATTGCGACGTTGTTTCCCCCTTTTCTGTGTCCCATATGTCCTTTATTCTGATTATGCCTCTTTTTACCCAATTGCTCCATGGGGTATCCGAGCAACAATATACCCTGTCGTGTCTGTCAGTAATCCTCCTGTTCCTGAAACGGGGCTAGTGCATCACCTCCTCCCACCTTATCGGCGAAGGCCTGTCAAACAACGGGAGTTGGCGCCAAGCCTTCAAGACCCAAACCCAAAAAAATCATCCCTGACCAAATCTGAGTGGGCTCCGTCGCGGGATGGGGCTCGGTCTGTTCGGGGGCACCTTGGCACAGTCCAAAAACGGTCGTCCAGCCAAACCAGCGGGTTAACACCTTGCTGTGTTTGTGGGGCGAGATGCGCTATCTATTCCAGCGCCAAGGCATACCATGGAAGGTGGTGGGTGAAGAGCAATCTCCTCACCCATTGAACAGTTAGTCCTACAATTTGGGTATCTGGGTCTAGGATCCCTAGGCCCCCTTTATTTTGGGGCTTAACCTGGACACTCGTTGCAACATTTTTATGGACTATTCCAGTCCAACGTCGGAAGTCTGATCCGATGTTCATTTTCTCCATACATTTGTCCAAAAAAAGCCAGTCCACATGGTCATATGCTTTTTCGAAGTCGATGAAGACTATGGCCGCATTTCGCTTGTCTTGGCTTGTTAGTTTAAGAAGCTCATTGACTAACATGATATTATCCCGGATCCTGCGTCCTTTGACAAACCCGATCTGCGTCGGGTGAATAATGTCATCCAAGACCGGGATTAGACGGTTTGCCATAGCTTTTGCAAGCATTTTGTAAATGACTGTAAGCAAGGTTATCGGGCGGTAATTCCTAATGTCCATCTTGTCCCCTTTTTTGTGTAACAAGGTCAAAACACCTTGTCCTACCAACTCCCCCATATGTCATGTTTCCCACACCTGATGATAAAAATTCATAAGGTCCGGGGCCATCAGGGCCCAGAAAGCCTCCCAAAATTCTTTAGGAAACCCATCTATACCCGGTGTTTTCTCTTCGTCCATCTGCATCATCGCCGTCCAGATTTCCTCCTTGGACAGGGGGCGATCTAGATCTGTTCTCTGCTGGCTCGTCAGGGTCTTCCCCAATGGTTTCAAAAACTCCTCTATTATCTTCTCCCTGACGTTCTTCTCCCGCTGGGCACACCTTGAGGTGAACAAATATTTGAAAAAGGATCTGGCTATCTGCGCATAGTGGGGGGAGGAGGTGACAATGTCCTGGTGTCCAGACCACGGGTCGTATAATGCTTCTATGGTTGTTCTGCGTGAACACACTCGGGCTATACTAAATTTTGTATCCATTGTTCCTTCTGTTTGGAATTTCGTAAGTCTTCCTCTTATGCGTGGCAAAGGACTGGAGTTGTTGTTGCAGCCTCTGTGCCTTGGAGTCCTCTTCCGATTGTATATCGTGGTCGATGTGCGGGCTGTTGGATAGATCTTGTTGTTCCAATTGTTGCAATTTTTGATGGATTTCCATCTCCTGTTGGTGCTTTTTAGCTGCTAGTGTTTTGGAATATTCTTGGCATTTTTTACCCAGATAGAATAGACCATTGTTAAACCAGTCAATTTCCTGCTGAATGTTTTGCTTTCGCCTGTGTCACAATGTCCAACAATCCTTGATATAACTTTGAAGGAGTTTTTGTTTTAAGATACTTGTATTGAGTTTGTAGAAACCCGATCCTCGGTTGTGTTTCTTACGGAAAGACAAAATGACCGTGCACATTTTATGATCAATGCCCGGATATGGGCTAGCGGGCAAGATTGTTGCTAAGAGCAGCGCGCCTTCCATGTCTTCTGAGATCAGGATTAAGTTGATCCGGGATCTCGTCTGGCTCTCGGTTCCAGTCTTTCGCAGGCATGAATAAAACCTTGTATCTGGATTTAATTTCCGGAAGGAGTCAAATACTTTTAGTGAGAGACACAACTCATTAATTATCCGTTCGTCCTCGTCTACGTACATCGTGGCGGGGGATGGCGTCCGCCATCTGTCCATCCACCGATTCGGGGCTGCATTGCAGTCTCCTACTATGATGACCGGCACCCCATCCGAAATTTGCGTCTTAAGCTTATCGAAGAAGGTTTCTCCTCTCGCTCACCGTAGAGGGACGTAGACACACACTATGCATAGAATTTCGATTTCCAACATTACTAGGATAGACACCCATCGACCTTCCTCCTGATCGACCACCCAGTGTACCGGGTCCGCTCGGGATTCGAAAGGGATCCAGTTGGCCACCCCTGCACTACCTCGTCTCGGGGCATGAGCCCTGAAAGCTTTGTATGGCTAGATCATTTTGTGGGTGCGGTTGTGCTCCGGGGTGTCCATCAGGTGTGTTTCCTCGACGCACACTATATCTGGCCAGTTTCTACCTCCCACCCCTCTCATTAAATCCCAGATTGCATTTTGTTTCTCAAATTTGCATGAGGCCAGGCCATTCACATTCAGAGACCACAGATCTAGGTTTGTTGTTCTCCTGCATTGGTACGGGAGTTGGCGCCAAACCTTCAAGACGTGAACCCAAAAATCATCCCTGACCAAATCTAAGCGGGCTCCATCGAGGGATGGGGCTCAGTCTGATCGGGGGCACCTTGGCACAATCCAAAAACGACCGTCCAGCCAAATCAGTGGGTTAACACCTTGCGGTGCTTGTGGGGCGAGACGCGCTATCTGTTCCAGCGCCAAGGCATACCATGGAAGGTGGTGGGTGAAGAGCATCACCCATTGAACAGTTAGTGCTACAATTTGGGTATCCGGGTCCATGATCCCTAGGCCCCCTTTATCTTTGGGCTGGATTACCGATACCCAGGCTACCCTGCTAATCAC